TCTCCAAAAACAATTGTAATTGGTATAATCAAATAATATTCTATAAATAATTCATGCAATTAGCCAATAACTATTTATTAATTTTAAATAATTCACCAATTCAGTTATTTAAAAAAACATTTAAAATTTTATTTTTAAACTACTAATACTATTATGTAAGTTCATTGAAATTAAATGAAATGAAATGAAATTGAATGAAATGGTCATTTTTAAATTTCATTATAAAATAACAATTCCCTAATAATAGTAAATGATGATTTCATTTGTAATATTTTTATTTTTTTCAGTAAACCAAAACTGAGAATAGATATTATGTTGGAATGATTTTTATTTTATTTCTACGAACCAAACATAATTTAAGATCAAAAATTAGTTGGGACTTATTTTTTAGGCAAAATTTGGAGGCCTGCAACGATGGTCTTACTTGCCTTGCCCCAAGACCGCCCTGCCCGAAAATATCTTCCCTCCTATCAATTATATGAAATAAATAAATTGACAAAATATTGATTTATGCATCAAAAACTCAGCACAGGATGTTTTGATTCAAATTTCTCAATTTTTTCTTTCAATCTAATGTACTCTTAATGACACAATCATGTTTGAGTTTCTCTTGTTTCAAAATTTACACCACGTGATATAAATGTGAGCGGTTCTGATTGGTAGCTCGAAAATTATTGGCTCGAATTGGCTCAAAACCCAAAACGTCGTTTTGGGTTTTCTTTTTCTTTTTTCTTTCTCGCTTTTCCAAAGAAGAAGAAGAAGACGAAGAAGAAGAAGGAGGAAGAAGGAAGAATGAAAAAGAAAGAAGAATAAGAGGGAGGAAGAATGAAGAAGGAAAAAGGAAGAAGAAGAAGAAGAAGCTGCTGGAGATCAGCATCAACAACAACATCTTCATCAACATCATCATCATCAACACATCACCATCAGCCAACAAATTCCCCCCCCCTTCATCTTCATCTTCAGATCCAGATTCAGATCCAGTAGAAAAAAAAAATTAAAAAAAAAAATAACTTTTCCCCTTTATCTTCATCTTCATCTTCATATCCAAATTCAGATCCAGTAAAAATAAATAAATAAATCAACAACACCATCTTCATCAACACATCATCACCATCAAACAACGACATCTTCATCAACATCATCATCATCATTATCAACACATCATCATTAGCCAACAATAATTTTTTTTTTCCCTTCATCTGCAAAGGTAAGAGAGAGGTGAGAGTAATTCCTCCTTTCGCGAGAGATGAGAGGGATGAGAGAGATCGAGAGGTGAGAGTGCAGAGGCGGAGAGGAGAGGAGAGGAGAGGAGAGCAAAGGGAAAGGAAAGGAAACGATAGAGAGGATAGAGAAATTCTTGTTTTCGAGCCCTTTCGAGCCAAAACTTTCGAGCTACGGGTCATTTTCCAAATGTGAGTGAATTGAAAAACAAGATAAGAAATTTTTAGAATACAGAATCCCTAATTCAAAAATGCTACATGTTACCAAATTTTTGTAATTGTTTTATGTTACCACCTACCTAATTAGATGTTTGTCACTAGGTTTATGTTGGCTATATTATAGTAGCCTCCTCTAAGAGTTGTAAATAAATAAATAAATTACAAAATTGGTATAATTATACCAACCTTTCTTTTAGTAATTATACCAACTTTTCTTTTAGTAAGATTAAAGTAAACTAACGCAGGATTGAGTGAAGGCACAAAAATAAATAAGGAAAAAAAAAAGCATTTTAGTTAAAAAGAGACAACAATATTGTTTTTTATCCATATGACTAATGAATTATTGATGAAAGATGAATGAGTGTTATGTGAATTAAAAACTTAAAGAAACTCAATGTAACTGTGTTAAACTTATAGAACTTATTGTATTTTCTTCAAATCTCAAGAGTGGTCTGTGTAATTTACCGTTTTACGTTAAAAAGAAAAAAATAATAAGAAAAGTTATGTTTCGGCAATAAATTAGAGGGGAGTTATGAGTCAGTCTTATTAACTAAATTTATTTATTTATAAGTTATACTCTTTTTTTCACCAATCAATTTTTAAGAAAGTGTTGTGGCAAATTAGTGCATTATAAAAGTGTACATGACCTATGGATATTTTAAGTCCATTACATAAGATTGGTTCATAATTTATCCAATTAAGCGGGTAAAAATCAATAATATATAACATCTTATCTTTACAAGTTGAAGGGAAAAATAAATTTAAAATTTTTAATTAAATAAAATATATAATAATTATCCCACCTAATTTTCCGACGCATGTTTCATTATTGTGAGAGTTAGGGTATAAATCCAAGAGACATTCATTTGAGAAAAAAAAAAAAGAATTGGAATGATATTTTTCTCATTTGGGAATAAGTTATTAGTAACTTTGTGACTTTTTGATTAAAATATGAGATAAAAATATATATATATATATATATATATTTGTAATGATTTTTGAGCTTTTTAAACATACAAAAAGTAGATAGAAAAATGAATGTTTTAATTTTTTGTTTAATTTATTGGCTTTTTAATTTTTTAGTAATTTTTTACTTTTAAATTAAAATATTAAATTGCCAAATGAAAATACTAATTCTTTTGCATTTGTATCTTTTTTAAAGTTGAATATTATAATATACTTCATTTATTATTGACTTCAAGTCTTGCCACTACAAGAAAATCGACACAATAGATTTTTGCGACGTTTAACATTTTCGTCGTAGATACGGTCGCCGCAATAGCTGAACAGCGTTTTAAAAGCGTCTCTAAAAACATTAGATGGCGTTTTTTAAAACGTTGCAAAATCTTTAACAGCGCTTCCACTTCGTCACAATTAACGTATGACGTAATGATGACATCATTTAGTGGCGTTTTTCAAAAAGCCACCTTTCTTCATTTTTAATAATTGCCTCAGATGTGATGTCATGATGACATCATTTAGTGACATTTTTTTCCCAAAAAGAGCCCCCCCTTTTTTTAAGAACACAACCCAATTAATTGAGAATTTAACTAAGAATAGAGAATGAAAATTAACTAAGAATTTATGTAAATTTAACTAGGAACAGAGATTAAGAATTGACTAATAATTAATATAAAAAGAACACAGATTGCTCAAAGTTGAATTACAATGCCAAATTGAAGACCATAAAAATTCTAATTTATATCCTTGGAAATTTAATGCTACAACTTTTCGAAAGATAACCCTTTTGTTGTTTGGATTGATGTATGAAGTGTTATTATTCTCTTTCACTAAGGCTTCATATTTTGCCCTCTTCTTACACACTGGAAAATCAATTCTTCACAGCATTATCAATTCTGTATGCATAGATGAGAAATTAATTTGTAAATTACCACAAACTTTTCCAATACCAAGCAAGAAATAAAACATTACAACTTATATACCTCCCTGAGACCACTTTGGCTATTTCAGTCCATCTGTTACCAAATACTTTTCGAGCCTGCAGTGGATCTTAAGATATCAAATTCCCACAGACAATAATGGAGAAATAATTATCTAATTTTGAAATACACTTGGTATTATCTGTTGGACCATTGGCGACAACAAAACAAATTAACTCAAAGAAAATTTAAGGAAATTAATGATTGAACAAAGATAGTGTTACATATATAGTTCAAAAGAAAATATATCAATAATAGTAGTAGAAAGAAAAACCAGCTTGTCAGTATTGATGTATCGCGACTTTTGAGTTCAGAAAGCATCAATTTTACCTCGCATAAGAGCAAGTCTTCCTCTGGAGACCACCCCCTTTCTTGAAATCAGAATTCAAGTAAGTGTACCATCTGCAATGGTATGTCACATCAACATTGGAGTTAGACTAAAAAACAGAAAATTAAAGAATTATTGAAGACAAAGGAGATCATAAATTTAAAAAAAGAAAATTGTGTTTTTATAAAATAATTAACCTTCTTCTACATTGCCTGGTTGATTTATCCTTGAATTTTGATGCAATGATTGCCCAACTATACATGTAAAACACACAGAACCTATCAATTTCATTCATCAAACAAACAACCTTTCATACATTATGAGCAAGTTCAAATCCCTGATTTGTACAAATCAAAGTACAATATAAATAGGAATTTACCTGACAAGTTCCCACAATCAACTCTATAGTTTTTGGCGCAAACTTGCCAATTATGTTGCAAGTACCCAATGAGTAAATCCAAGAAACTTTCTATGTTTTGTTTTGTTCGATAAAATTCCTTAAAAACCTCAACACATTTCACCAAGAGAGAGAGGAAGGAAGGAAGTTAGATATGATAATCCCTCTCTTGATAATAATAATAATAATAATAATAATAATAATAATAATAATAATTGTGACATCACCCTTTCTTGGTATCAAAAAAGTCACCTCAAGTTTCATCAACTTGGTAAACTGCACCCAAAAAAACATGGAAAAAGGCCTTTAGCATCACTTGGTATTTCCTAAAAGCATTTTTATGATGCAAAGTGATATGCCCTTAATATAGTACTAACAATCCATATTTAAAAAAAACATAGAAAACAGATAAAAAAAATGGCAATTCTACAAGCATGTTTGGAAGCATGAAGACAAGTGCATTTTGACACAAATGGGTACCCACACATCCACATATATGCATCCAAACAAAGACATTCACAAACCTGAGATGTCTTCAGCTCCAATTCCTCCCATTCTAAAGATATTACTTTCTTCAACTACACCAGTACCAGCATAAATTAATGCAACAAGTCCCTATCCAAATTGGTCAGCACACATTACTTTGGGAATGACATCACTACGAAATCATGGACAGTTATAGAGATTTTTGAAATGAAAGTACATCCATATACAAAAATAACCCCATTGTTGTTACTGTCAGTGAAACCATTTCAATAGTTCTTTTGGTATATAGCTTGACGGAGAAAAAAGGAAAAGAAAGACAGAAACTACATTTTTTGTGTACTGTCAAAAGTTGAACTTTTGATGACAAATAATATAGATTTCAGTGAAAGATGTACTAGTAAATGGCTCACCCTTCCCACCAAGGCTTCCTTATTCCAACAGCAAACTCACTTTTCTCCTCCTCCAAACCAACCAACCAACCAGGCCAGCATACATTCCTCGGTCAAACATTTCTGTACACATAATTGATATATACTTCACTTACATAGGATAGCATTAAAAGAATATCTCTATTTAGATTCCTTGAGAATCCAAAAAAAAAAAAACAAACGGCAGAGGAATATTCTGTCCCATAACAAGCAGCAAAATATAATCACAATTAGATGATCTATAAATAATCATCAAACATGGAAATAAAGTTAAAAATCATGGCGATTTGATAACAGAAAAGAAAACACCCCTTTCCCAACTGAAACAAAATAGTTCAATAGTTTAACCCCAAAAAAAAAATCATATGACCAATGTTAGTCAGGCTAAATCTAGTGTTCTAGAGTAAAGATTGAATTCATTAATAGTGCAATTTTTATCACTGTTATATTGCACTTCAAATTAGACGAGACACACTAAATGGACAGTAAACACATAAGCTTTACAGGTAAGTGTAAATCATGATATATGATTCCGTCTTGGCAAGCATGTATACTTTCTTTAGATCATTGAGTCCTTTTTTGTTCAACTTTAGTCAAGAATTGAATTATGTCTCATCTTAAAAATTTCACGTAGATGTAAACAAGCCATAAAACAAGATTGCAGACAGAAATGATATAGCAATATACATGTACCAGTTTTGCAATTAGAATGCATGCCTCTTCTGTAGGAAACCCACAAACTGCTGGAGTTGGATGAAGGAAGACAATACCTCAAACTAGTTACAAAGCAAACTCGTGTAAGAGAAACTAACAACTAGACATTCATTATCAACATATGAAACATTCAAAATCTAAGTCAAATAATTATATATATACACACCATCAATAAACATATCATTGGTAACAACCTTGTGTATCAATTTTTAACCAAGTAGTCGAAGCAATAAAGAGATGCTTAGAAAATTCACCCTTAGACGAGAAAGCACTAGAGAACTGTGGGGAAAGGAGTGAGAAAGACCACTTTCCTTTCCATTGAACCAATGACATTAACTCATGAAAGGGATTGAAGCAACTTAAGTCAAAATAGGGGAAAAAATCTTATTTCTTTTCAAGTAGTGGTGGTGGTAGTAGGGATCTAAAATCCCTGAAAGTAGTAGTAGTATCACCCTTAGACGGAAAGCACTAGAAGAACTGTGGGGGAAAAGGAAGTGAGAAAGACCACTTTCCTTTCCATTGAACCAATGACATTAACATCATGAAAGGGATTGAAGCAACCTTAAGTCAAAATAGGGGAAAAAATCTTATTTCTTTTCAAGTAGTGGTGGTGGTAGTAGGGATCTAAAAAATCCCTGAAAGTAGTAGTAGTAGTAGTTAGTAGTAGTTAGTAGTAGGGACCTAAAAAATCCCTTTACAAGAAAGAATTGAAACATATGAAGGAAGCAAACAGCTTACCTGTAGAATTCGGCATAAAGGTCTTTATCACTAACATAAGCAAGCAACTTTACCACCTGCAGGAATAAAATGAACACGTTAGAAATTACCATGACAAGTCAATAGGCGCAATAGAAACAGATATTAAAGAAACAGGAAGGCCACCTTATCTAATGTGTCCTCAATGGCTTCATCATTCAATTTTTCATTCCCACCTTTCTTGAGAATATTATCACAGAATGAAGCCAGCAGCTCTGCACTAGAGCAGCCAAAAACTTGTTTGTTGCAGAAAACCTCAAAAGCCTCTTTCAGGGCCTACGGAAGAACCAATAAAGTTGACTTTATAAATATAAATGTATAATTATCAGCAAAGGACCCAAACCATGAAACACAACTCTCCAAAACAAACCTTGTGAAATAAAGTGGTTTGCAACATCAGTTTATGACAAAAACATAAATAAGAGAATGCCAACTCAGTTTCTATGCTTAACTTCAACTACGTTAGATACACGAATGTATAGGCAATGAAAAAATTACCTACTCCTGTGAAGACAATAGAGCATTATCTGCCTGTGGAGAGAAATAGCAGTAACACTTTGAAATGCAATAATATAATTAGCCATCAAAATTTTAAAGAGAAAAATCGCATTATTCATTAACAATTATTAATTCTATAGTCAATTCTATGACTCATTGTTACTCTTTTACTATTCATTCCTACCATTTTTCTATTATTTCATACTCCAACAATTCAACCAAGCAGAGCAAATTATAATCCTAGGCCACAAGAGCCATAGTTAACAAAAACAAACAACCAAACAATGATATATGAATATTTATTGGCAGATTTGGGTAAAGGAATTGTAGAGTTCTCCAACAAGAACCGCAAACTATAATAGCCTAAGCCTGCCCACATCTCATTTACTTCTGCACACATTTAAGCTGACTTTTAATCCCAAATTTCTCAAGGACTATTGACACATATTTGATCAACTCAATGAATCCCACACATCAAACCCAAAA